CAATACTAACACAGTGAGCTGTTTGTTATCTATACCTCGTCGAATGTCATCAGTAACTTTAACCAACGCTGTTGTCGTACTATGACCCGATCGGAAACCAGATTGGAGAGGATCCAGGATACAATTTCTATTTAGGTAGAGATTTAACTGAAAGAAAACTAGTTTCTCCAGGAGTTTGGATAAAAACGGGAGAATTGAGATAGGACGAAAGTCGGAAAAATGCAAAGCATGGGGTTTTTTTGGGAGAGGCGTTACAAGTGCACTTTTCCAAACATCAGGAAATTTTGAAGAGGAGATGGATTTATTCAAGATATGGGTAAGGATAGGAGTAACAAATTCTAGGATAGGTAAGATCATGTTACGACTAACATTGTCCTCACCCACGGCATTGGACGAGATGGACAAAATGTTCTTTTTAACATCATTATCAGTGAAAGGAGAGAAATTAAACGGTGGAAAATCAGGAGTTGGTATTGAAGAAAGAATACTCAGAGTCCGATCTTTATCTGAGCTATCTAATGTGCTAGAACAGGTGAAGTATTTGTTAAGGAATTCAACATCAACATTATGATGAGGAGAATTATTGGATGTTTTACCAACTCCAAGAGACCGAAGAAACTTCCAAACTTTGGCTGCGTCGCCGTTTTCAACGGATTTATGAATATGGCGTCTTTGTGCTCGTTTGTCACCCTATCCCATAAAAAAAAGTTGTTTTGGTTAAGAAAGTATTCTAACTCCAATGTAGTTTTGTTCCTTTTTAAAACATCAATATTGAAATCTCCATACAAGACGATTTTTTTATTTAAGGATAGGCGAACTTTCTTAATATAATATCTAATTTTTGATAATTAAAAAAAATATATAAAATACTGCTTAATGGAATGTTTACGGAATTCTATATATACCGATAATAAATATTTTGTCAGCTATTATTTCTACCGCATAGCATTCGAAAAGATCCAAAACTGATTGTTTTGCTATATCTGATAATTCTCTATACTGTAGTCCTACTATAACCAAAATACATGTTCCTCCTCGCTTAGTATTTATCGTATATATATAAGAAAGCAGCTGGGCAGAAATTTGATATGTGTAATAAAACCTGTTTTAATAAAATGTTCTGTAACACATATAACATCTAAAATGGTGCCTTTGTTAAATAGCTCTTTTAATTTCAGAGTTAGTGTATCCGATTTACTCATTAACTCTGCTATATTTTGATGAAGTATGTTGATTTCCGCAAAGTAACGCCTGATTCTATTAATTATATGAAGTATGTTGAGGTTATTAAAGAAAAAATTGAGAATTTATTTAATCTAAGTCAGTAGGCAATATGTTTTGGTTTCGAATGAAGCAGTCAGATTCTGGGTACATAGTATTCAGGTTGTTTAGGTCAAGAATTAAGTCTTGCAAATCTCATATAACAATTTTTAAACCATTGTTATTTAAGGTTCCATAAAGTTTGCTATACGTATTATAGTCATAAAGTAGATTAAGATTTGATTCTTAGATATATGCATAAGTATATGAACCAATATAGAATAGAATAGAATAATTTTTATTCAATAACATGTGTAATTCTTATTGGAAGTCATTTTTTACTTTACCACTGGTTCGAAAAAAACCTCTGTCCTGAGAAGAACCAGCCAGAAACGCAGCGGGACTTTTTTTAAAAGCAAATTTTACATTAATGGTTGTACAAACTATATAAGTACAAAATTTATTTCAGAAACAGCTTGGAAGTGACCACCTCATTCCCAGGGGTTATTATCAACCATGTATTCATTTATACTATAATAACCCTTTTTATACAGTTTCAACTTAACAAAACATTCAAACTTGGTAATAGAGAGAGCCTGTACACTTTCCAGGACCTTGTTGTAATAGCGTATACATTGCTCCAGGAATGAATTACTGACTCTGTGGAGTCGAGACTGGTACCACTAGGTTGTGTTTGTTCCTAGTGTTTACAGAATGTAAATCACTTTTGTTACTAAAACTATCTTTGTTTTTGTGAAAATACATTAATTTGTCGTAAATACACTGAGACGCCAAAGTTAATATATTTATTTCTTTAAATTTATCTCTAAGAGACTCTCTCGGTTTTAGGTTGTAAATAGCTCCAATGGCCATCTTCTGTAAAACAAAAATAGTTTCTGAATCAGCCGCATTCCCCTATAGCAAAATCCTATAAGACATTATGCTATGGAAATAACTGAAATAAACTAATCTAGGTGTCTCGACACTAGTGAGATCTATAATATAATATAATATCCATTGTAAAGCTGGTTAGTAAAGGTTCATATGCGGGTATGCGAGTATGTCATTTAAAGGTAATAATTTTTCTCTTATAAGCATGACAAGTTTAATCTAATTATGCGTTCTCCGAAAATCTTCAACAATATAAATGACACAATAGTCAGAGAACGTAAAGTTTTGTAATTTGCCTTCAATTTTTTCGAAATTTGCTTCAATTGACATGTAGGTTTACGATAGTAACAAATTTCATAATGACGTAGATTAGTTCTTCAGCAATAGTACATATTCTGTTAGAAATTTCACCGCTTATTAAATAAATTTTGTGTTTTGTGGAATGATGTACTATTTTGTGTCCTGTACGTCATTAGTTGTGTTGGTCGAGCTTGTATTGCTGCTATTGCTTTGAGTTTTATAGTCAATCGTAGATGAGGTGCAGACATTTCCGATGATCTGTATTGTTTGCGTTTGTTTTATTTTTGTTTGTTTATTTGCATTTTTCTTGGGTGTTGCCATTTTAATATTTTGCAGGACTGTTGACTATTTTTTGTAGATATAATTTTTCTTATTAAATTCTTTATTACTTTTCTTTAAATTACTGTTTTCTAATGATAATAATTCAGTTTCTTTATGTACACTATTTAGTTGTAATGTTAATCTTTCATTCGTTTTCAGAAATATCTGGTAAACTACTCGCTGTACAATTTAAAGTTTGTAAAATAATATCGCTTTCATCGTCATTCCATTCCGATCGCGTTCGGGTGCGCCGGAACGTTATATTTTCCAATGAATTCATTATGATTATACAACTAAACTATAAAAAAGAATATGGAGTAGTGGGATACGAACCCGAGCTTACTTACTAGCTTCTAAGCCAGACAGTTGCACATAAAATTCAAACTGTTTAGTTTAAAATGAGATCAAATTGGCGCTCGTATACTGGCCATAAGATGTGACGTGAGTTGCTGTTTCATGTGATTTACCGTACAGACAATAGATGTCCTTATACTCAATATTTATTATAACAACTATAAACATTTTTTTCTAGCAACACAATTTAGTGATTGATAACAGGAATGCAGATTGGTTTTTAGGGATTGACGCAAGATACCGTTGCAGACGTACCGTATCAAATAAAAAACGAATCTTTTTGTGAACTAACTTATAGTTTTTTTTATATATTCGTGTATCATTTCTCGTTGTTCGTGTTTCATCTTCATTAAATAGTCGTGTATATTTTCAATGTGTTTTAATATCACACACAGAAATATTTTAGTCACAAAATTCTGTTCACATTTAAAAGTTATATTTGCATAGTTCTAAGTGAAAAATATGTTAAGACAATATTTTTACACACGTATTGCACTATTTTCTTCTTTTTTTAATAAATTTGAGTCGATACAGTTCATTAAACTGTTTTTAGAAATTTTAATACGGGAGCACAATGTTTACATGGCTCCTGTCAGCTGTAGCGTCTCTTATACAAGAAGGCTACAAATGCATCGTTACCTCTGAGGACATAGATGAAATGCCTCATAGCCTATAATTATACTGGCTCTCTATTTATTATTTTGATAAAACGTAGTAGTGAACAGGTGAGAGGTGGTTCCCGCCAGAACTTGTAGATAGCCTCTAGGGCAAAGGTGTAATACTCAATTTCCTAATAAGATCATTTACAAAATTAAGGGTAAATAAATACACTTACGCAAAATAAAATGATTAAAAACTACCTTATAACAATAATAAAAGTCAATCGTCGGTGCCAAGACATAATATTATATTGTAGAGTAATTAAAGCTCCAACTTCAGAATGTGAAATTATTTTATTTTTTTAAGTATTATAAGTCTAGTTTTACTCTATACGAATTTTTTTTCAAACTTTTGAGTGGGCTACGGAATATCACAAACTCAATGTGGTTTGAATAGATACATTTAAAATTTCATTCCCTATTATACCATTTTCAGGGTATATCCTCAAGTATTAGCTATATAATGAAAAGAAAAAAAAAAAACAATAATTTATGCAACAATAGTAACAATATATGTAATAGACACGATAAGATAACACCTAACATTCACCCAAAAAGACATACTGTGGAAGTGAGAAATTCCTATATTCCTATTTTTTTTTTGAAGGTAAATCGGTGAATCTTTATTTAGGAATAACTCAGCTAGTACAGCGTGGACAAAAAATACCAATATTTAAAATGCGTAGAAAGGCAATATCATCATATTTACTCATCTTTGGCGTATAGGTCATTACTATCATCATCATCATTACAGCCCTTCACATGTCCACTCCTGAACATAGGCCGCCCGCAAGGATTGTCACAAAGCATTGTCCTGAGCCATCTGCATGGAACTCCTGCATGTCTTACCAGGCCATCACTCCATCTAGTAAGAGGCCACCCTACACTTTGCTTACCTGTACGAGGTTGCCACTCGAGAACCTTTCTTCCCGATCGGTTGTCGGTTCTTCGGGGTATTTGGAAGGCCCATTGCCACTTCAGCTTATTTTCCGTCATAAAAGTAGGACATTAAAATCTTTAGAAATTTAATATTTCGATTTAAGTTTTGATGGTACCTAGAATGTAAAGTAGGTTATTTAAAATCTTTAGATTTTAATGACCTACTTTACATTTAGATTAGATTTTTTTTGTTTTTATTGACCTACGCGGGCGCGTGATAACGATCCATTTTTAATATTACTGCTTTAGGATAATGAAGCTGACAGTTTAACTTACCTGTGTATGTGAGTAGAACATTGAAAAGTTTGATACTATTACAGGAACCGGCAATGCGATGGTCAATACTCCAGCCAGTGCACACAGCGCTCCGACGAACATCCCCAAGTAGGTTTTCGGCGCCATGTCACCATAACCTACAGTGGTCATCGTGACAATAGCCCACCACAACCCCAACGGGATGGATTTGAACTGGTTTTCTGGGTTATCCTGTAAGCAAATATTACAATTATAACATCTAAGTTGTATCACATTATTTATTACTTACTATTTTTATTATTTTTAAAAATTTTGCCCCCGATAAAGATATCTTGTATCGTGGAGTGGCGTTTCTAGACACATACGAATTATTTGTAGAACTTTTTTTTTATAGGATAGGGTGACAATCGAGCACACAGTCCACCTGATGGTAAGTCGTTGCTGTGGCCTATAGGCATCTACATCTATCCTCGTTTGCGAATCAAAATGCAGATGCGTTGTCACCCGTGAGGACTAAGATGGAATACCTCTTTTCCAGTAAAAAGGGTCTCCAGTTCTCTACACTCGCCATACGAAACACAGCAGTGTTAAGCTGCTATTTTACGCTGGTATTCTGTGAGAGTGTGGTCCTACCCCGGTCCAGCCGACCCATTCGTGCTACAATCATAATATAGCTGCAGCCTTACTCTACCACGTATAAATCTTCACATCCAATTACAATGCTACAAGGGAAATCTAGAGCTACAATGCTTCAAGGGAATCTTCAAGGAAAGAGCAAATAAGCTTTTGTTGACCTAAATCAGTGCGGTTCACCATCTTCGCCTGCATCACCACTTACCATCAGGTAGGAAATTAGTCAAGCACTGGCTTAAGATAGTTAAAAAAAATTGAGAAGTATATCTTGATATATGATAGACTTCACGATAGGTTTTACTGATTTGATTCGCATTGTGGTATACAATCATTTATGTCTGATATAGTAGTAGTATAGTAGTTTAATAGTAGTAGGTTCCGTTTATAGTACGCGTATTTAAATGATCGCTTGAACAAGTTTTTCCTATTAATGAAAATAATAATTTAAATAAAAAATAAAATCCGACTTCAGACACAAAACAATATATAATAAGTCCATATTTTGAAATCGGTGCTATGTGGTTAACTTTTTGGTGGCTGATGACCGTTTAATTTGAAACATTTTTTTAACTGATCCTTAGTCTCTCAACTATCATCATTATTATAGCAGGTGATACTTCCTTAATTTTAATTGACGGCTCCGTGGCGCAGTGGCTTAGCAATGAGTTGCAGCGCTGGGGGCCGCGTGTTCGAATCTCGCACGGAACAAGTATTTCTATGGCATGCAAATAATTGTTCCGGGTCTGGATATTTGTCCTTGTGAAATTTATGTTTGTAAACTGCCTCCACAATACAGGAGAAATCCTAGTGTGGGGGTAATGTTTTAATTAAAATAAGAAGAAAAATTGTAATAAGTTCGATTTTAGTTTATTGCCCTTGTTCGGGTATTGGACGAATGTTCAATAATAATTCCAATTTTATGTTAAAATAGTTTAAACAAGTAAAAAATATAAAATTAAAATATGTTGAATAATGCTAAATGTTAATGTTAATGATTTCGCGTCCGTCGCGATTACGGTGAAAACGTGAACTAACTCGACTTTTTAATTGTCAAACTATATCGATTGTGTTGCGTAAAATGTTAACGCCAGCAGAAATGTACGGTTGGAACGTACAGCACTGTACAGGGAAATAGAGAGTAAGCAAGTAGATAAAACGCATATTATTAAATAATTTATTTACTTAGTAATGTGAAATAATAACAAAACAAAATAGTTTTATTATAGTTTTATCTATTTATGAATTATTTGCGAAGGCGCGAACAAAAACTGGTAGGTAGATTTTTACTCATCCATAACTTCGATAGCAGTTATTTTATCGAATATTCGTTCATTTCTGTATAACTGCTATCACGCCATTCTCTGTTTATCACAAATTAGAGAACGTAAAAATTCAACAGAAACAAAAATATCAACAAAAACAGTATCAAACTGGAAGTCGCATGGGAGCACAAACAACGTTCGTAGATACATTTCAGTGTTGCCATCGGTACTATAAGGGTGACTCTTGAGGTGATGAGGAAGCGCGGCGGTAGGTAACGGCATTCATGAAATGAACACGTAGTACAATTTTTTAAATCAAACTTCGTTGGTTTAGGTTTATCATTTTGAACTTAATGCAAAGTTTGGAAACAGTTACTGATGAAGAAAACTAATCTTTCAGCAACGCAAAATTGTTTCAAACAAGATTCGCCTAGCGTTGTTCGAAATATTAATATAATACTCAAGTAATAATGTATTTCTTCGGTATCAAAGTCATCATCATCATTACAGATCATCATAAGTCCAATACTGAACATAAGGCCACTTCGGATAGGCAGTGCAGTGCATATTGGCCATTTCTCTAGAGAATGCCACAAAGCGTGTCCTGCGCCACCTGCATTTATCAACTTCCCGCATATCTCACCGAACTAGTCACTCGTTAAAATCTATATAAATATAAATAAAGGTTTTCAGTTGTACGCGCATCACGGAAAAAACTACTGGATAGATTTCAATTAGGTTTTCTAAGTTTTATTTCTTAGACACAAAAAAATATTACGACATCTTCATTTAATAAAAAGTTATTAAAGTTTTAAGAAACAACGATTTTTATTAGCACTACGTGTTCAGTGATGTGTTTTCTTTATTAGTATATCAAGCAACGCGGACGAAGACGCGGTAATTTCTAAATATTTGCTTTCAACTCCGTAATCCCAGTCTTATTTTATTCCTTTAAAAAATACAAAACGTGTGATTTTTACTTTAATCGTATAATAATCATCAAAGTATAATAATAAATAAACTAAACTGTTATAAAATGTACGGTTAAATGTTGTTAAGAATTGAGGAAATAAATTTGCCTAGTTCAAGAGCGCTCCCCAGTTTTAGCGGCACGTAGGTTTTTGTTGGAGCGTAATTGATAGCCAATTAACTTAGGCCACGGTCGTTTTGGTACCGCAACTAAATTTAAAATGCAGTTTCTACTTTTTTTTAAATGTCAGTATTCGCAACGATATAAGCTAGTTAGTATAACTATGTGTTTCGCATTCGGAATCTTTATTTGCTTTAGGTTTCATTCGCTATAGAGGAGCTTAATCTGATGAATGAGGAGTATTTCCAACTAAAACATTACTGAAATATAGTCCAGTAAGACATTATGAAATAAAGTGCAATATTCGAAAACGGATTAGTAAGCTAAAGTGGCGATGGGCCGGCCATACAGCCCCATAAACCGACAACCAATGGGGAAGAAAGGTTCTCGATTAGGAGCCTTGTAACAGTGGAGAAAGTATATACAGTATAGGGCGATCTCTCACTAGATGGGGCAACGACCTGGTAAGATACGCAAGAAGTCGATGGATGCATGTGGCATTCCTGCACTTCTTAGGGGCATTCCTTAGGGGATACCTATGTTCAGCAGTGGGCTTGTGAAGGGCTGCATTGAATGAAAAAATGGAAAAAAAACGAATAGAATATCACCGATATTTTGTAAAATGGACTTGACATGAATTTCAACAAATTTTATTTTCTTATGTGATCTAGGATTTTTAAATAACTAGACGTTACAACTCCAGGTGATAAAATTATAATTAAATGGTGTTTGCTATTTTGTGGTTTAATTAGTACTCGCAAATTAATAATTTATGTTTTCTAAATTGTAAGATTCTTAAAAAAATAAAAGTGAGGGTAACCAGATGAGGATACTTCCGATAAAATGTAACACAGGATCCTTTACATTTGCTGCGTGGTAGTGACATATGAGAATGTATGGTGGGTGTCACAATCATCACAATCTTGTCTTGAACCCCCTAGGATCAAACGGCAAACCTCTAGAGGTTAACATACCCCCTCCGCCTCCCCTATGGTTTCCCGCCTAAGAGGAACCCACATGACTGGCCCAAGGTGACCACTCCGAGTGGGCTTGCCGAGCCCATTTCGGATGTGTGTTGGTGGGCTGCGGTGACAAGGGTTTCCTCTCCCCCTACCGTTGGCAGCCAAAGTGGAATCGCGGAGGAAGATGAGTGTTGGTATGGCGATGCGCCACTTGCCCTATCCTACGCAACTCTGACGCGGCTACACAGTTGATTGATGCGGTGGGAGTAAGGCTGCGGGAGAAGAGGAGTGTTGGTATTGCGAGGCGTCGCTCTCCCTACCCTCCACAGCTGGATCTTGGTTGGCGGTGGAGACATAGACCAGATTCACCGATAGGGTCAGCTAGTTGGGGTAGGCTAGTGCTTCTGGGGCGTCCGCTACGCAGGTGAAGTTGGAGGCCGTGGAGGAAGGCGTGCCATGTATTCTGGTGCGCCTTACCTGAGAAAGAGATAGGGAAGGAGTAGTCCTCTCTTGAGGAGGGGCCGCCATGGGGCGGCCAGCGTTGGCGGGGTCGCGAATGTGTGTAAAAGCGTTCCCGTGGCCCTGCCAATATGCGACGAAGGTGAAACACCACGTGGTTTTAATCGTTGCGAGTCCGACATAACCCGTCCTTACCCCCGCGAGACGGCTATGCGTAGGCATTTCCCCATGTAAGCCAAAAAAGGGATTAACAGACCCCACTTCTTAAACCCTGATTAAGGAAATATTTTTATATTTAGAGAAAAATTGTTAGAAATATATCTAAATAACTACTCACCTGCGATTTCTCAGCGTAGTAAACCAAACTGGCGAAAATCACGATACCAAGCACCAGAAAAAACACTAGAAGTGTTAACTCCTTAGCAGACGCTTTGAACGTGTGTACTAATATTTTTAACCCTGGGCTATGCCTTGTCAGCTTAAATAGCCGAAGGATTTTTATTATTGAAATGAATTCCAAAATGTCCGCTTTGTCCATGTTTCTCTTCACCACTGTCAATTCAACTACCACATCCATGTAGAAGCTCAGGGTTGCGATAAAGTCTATTATGTTCACTGGGGATTTTATGAACTCTATTATATTTGGTGCTACCTGAAACAAAAATAACACATCTTTAAGTTTTGGCAGACACATTAACATATACTTGTATTCCCCAATAAATTGCCCCTATTAGGCATTAAACCTATAGAGGTTAGGGGTCATTGACTGTAATTGCCAGATTTGGCGGGTTGGCAACTGCAGTTTGTTTTATTATTTTGAATGAGATGTTAACAGAAAGATGCGATTGCCCATTCCATCTCTTGTTGAATTTCTCTTAAGACACTACAGGATGATATAGGGTAGTAAATTCTGTTAAAACGTCACTAAACGGTGAATAAAAATATAATAAGATAATACAGCTACTAAAAATCTTACTGTCTTTTTATGCCTAGGAGCCTATATGGGTAGGTACTTATTTTTGCCAAAGAGCAACAGTGCATAAATTGTTTTGTTCCGGTTTGAGGGATGAGGGAACCAGTATAATCTGTGAAGTATTTCTTAACCTCAGGGTTAAGTCCTCAAGGGTTGTAATGCACCTGTAGCCTTTTTTATTTGAAGCTGATTGCGGACTTCATATGCAAAATACATTTACAATAAATACATACATTTAAATACATTACAACATATATTTTATAGTAATTGATAGAATCAGGCGTTACTTTGCGGAAATCCATTATAATGGGGTTGTTATAAACTAATTTGCTTAATTCCGCGTGAAGAAAGAAAATTATGTGTAAGTGACTTAGCGGCCAGCCTCTGCAGAGTCTACTTCACCTGAGGATGCCTCGTGTGGAGGCGAAACACGTGTCGTATTTTCGAGAGTGGTGTGTCGTGCTGGGATTAACGACGACGGGTATAGTGCGCGCGATTGAGGGAGGGTGGGAGGTCACCGTCGAGCAATATTTCGCCCGCGTGTAAATTAGGTTTTTATTTTTTTGCGCAGAACCCTAGTTCCTTTTCTTAACTAAAGCCTAAGTTAACCCTTATAACATCAGCTGTCTGCCAGTGAAATTCCCATCGAATTCGGTCCAGTCGTTTCAGATATTAGCCGGAACAAACAAACAGACAGACAGACAAAAATCTTAAAAATTATGTTTTTGTTGTAAGTACCGTATGTACTTTCATATGCTTTTAGTGAAAAGCTGTTGTTTTGACATTGCAAACAGATACTCCAATTTCATTTATTTGTATAGATTGAAATGAGAAACAAAGTCAGTCAGTCAGTCAGATAGTCCATCTGATGTGAAATGGCTACTGCAGCGCATGTACATCTGCAACCAACACTAATTTTTTTGTTATAATTTATGTGCCAAATAAACTTATTTCTTTTTTTCTTTCTTTCTTAAATAAAGAAGCCTATAGATGTGTCGTCAGCACTCCGGACTAAGATGGTAAGTCTCACAGCGTGTATAGTAAATAAATAAAGCGAACGCTTATTTCTCTAAGCTACCACGTCTTCAGCTAATGCATGAAAAATAATATATACTATGCAAAGAAATCTCATTTCACTTTAAAATCTCATATCACTTTAAAAGCAATTTAAACACAAGTGGGTTATAGAGATATTTTTAAATTTAGGCCAAATAAACTTTCAAACAATGTTAACAAAAGAAGCACATTATGTAATTCTTCAGAACACCTGCGTCGCAGATTTTGTTCAAATAAATTTGGAACTCGAATACGGTACTTTAAATTTGGCAGTACTCCAACATATGAATTGATAATGGATTGCGGACAATAGTTTTAAAATACTAAGAATATTCGCTTTAGAATTGAGAACAAATAGTTTGGTTACAAGTTTCAATGTATGATATGATATTAATCATCAGTTTTAATGAAAGCAAATATCCGCGAGAACAAACAAAATTAATAATTAACAAAATTATTGCTTTATTTATGGGATTTTAACTAAGCGGCTAATGTGTAATGCATCTAATGTAAACGTAGTATGTAGTAATTAAAATTTCGAAATGTTTTTCAATAAACGTTTTAACATATAAACGTGAGGCACAAAAATAGTTCTTATTTAAAAAAATAGCTATTGTTGTGCCTCGCAGCTAAAATTCAACACAGGAATTTATTCTAAAGCTGTGTTTGCACAATATTCTAGATCAAACACTCATAATCAACATGTCAATACTCTTCAAATAAATATAATATACATATTTGGTATTTCGTTGCTGGTATTATTTCTTACTTTTTATGGCAATACGTTTGCATGCACGTTTTTACAGGATTTGTTATCGTCCAATCTGTCAAATTCCCTTAAAGTGATCTGACATTTGTACACGTTTCCTAGTTTGAGTTAGCATCACTGACCTCTATATATGCAAGGCGAGTATTCACTCACTCCAAAGAGTATTAAAAAGGAACGTTGGAAATTCACAGCCGTTTAATAAATCTGTCAGTGATTCCTTGGCAACATTAGAAAAATATTTTGGTGACATACCTTTACGCTGTGTAACTGTTTGACAACAGATTATTTGTGTTTAAAATTATCACCATGAATTTAGACAGTGAGTATTCGATTCTATTCTATTCCTCGTAAGCCAAATATAAAAGGGGTACAAAGTTTTCCTTACACGTATTATTACAAAGATTAAACAACATTTGTATCAACGCGCTCGAGATACGTGCAGTAAAGTGGGACTTCAACACGAAAATGAGGGAGCCGAGAGCTGTTGACATGGCTTAGCTGAGCAACTGCATCTGTTAAGAACTAACGAGTGGTATTCTTGACCGGAATCTCTCATGCAAAGAAAAAAAAACTCATGCTTTATACATGGTAGAGCCATGCTGCAGTTATATTAGTAGTATAGTTGTAGCACGAATAGGTCTGCTCAACCGGGGAAGGACCACGCTCTCACAGGATACCAGCGTAAAATAACAGCTTAACACTGCTGTGTTTCGTATGGTGAGTGTAGAAAACAGGAGACCCTTTTTACTGGAAAAGAGGCATTCTATCTTAGTCCTCACGGGTGACCACGCATCTACATTTTGATTCGCAATGGAGGATAGATGTTGATGTCTATGGGCCACAGCGACCACTTACCATCAGGTGAACTGTGTGCTCTCTTTGTCACCCTATCCTATAAAAAAGTCTGTGTATTATATTTCGGTTCTTCATTAGCCCATAGCTACATTATAGATTAGCAGCGGTTTAGCATTCTAGTTTGTTGTTTAATTTGAGTTGAGCCCACATCCTGCTTCAATCACAGTAGTTTCTTACGACATCTACGGGATTATGGTGTGGTAAATTCTTTTATGTTGCAACGAGCTTTAATGTTAGTAAACCAGAACATTATAGAGAGAGAACCGTCGGGGAAGAAAGGTTCTCGAGTGGCAGCCTCGTCTGGTACGAGGCTCGAGCAAGCGTAAGAATAGGGCATCCCCTCACTAGAGACAATCCTCCACCTTCCGATAGCCCCACCAACCTTGCGGTTATACGGGCCGATTTTCGAGAGATGCACGCGATACTTGTACTGTGCTCTTTCCCACGTGCCCTTTCTTGACTCTTAACAAGTTAATTAATAAAATCAGGTGTTACTTTACGGAAATCCATTATATTAAAGTTGGTAAAATTACCGAAAAGTAGTGGTGCTGTGATTAGTGATGACGGAAATAGTGCACGCAATTGAGGGAGGGCGAGAAGTGCTCTTCAAACTAAAAAAAAATAATCATAAGTAAGTACATCCGCTCGATATATGTTATTAGAAATAATGATAATGATAATATCGAGCAAATGTACTCTAGGTAATTTTTAGCAACTTTAATTTTCTCTACAAGTTATTTACTCCACTCCTTGCCCCGTTTTACCTCTCTTCCTTTCTGGGCTGGATAAACACAGCTCGCTTTCGGTTCCAGGCAGATTTTGCATTATCTTTTGTTTTTCTATCGCTGTTCCGCGCATGCGACCTATGCGCAAACTTCCGCAGCCGGTTAAAGCTCTCCCTGTAGTAGACGAGGTCCGGGTAATACAAACGACCCACATTTTTGCGTACTATTCCGTCCATTATCTTGCATCTCAGGTGATCATACAACGCGCACTCTCATAGCACATGATCCTCATAAACATCACTGCAAACGCACAAACCAGACTCAACCAATTTCATATCATACAGTCTCTTTCGAAAACATCCATTCCCACTGAGGATATGTGTGTGTGTTTCGTATGGTGAGTGTAGAGAACCGGAGACCCTATTTACTGGAAAAGAGGCATTCCATCTTAGTTCTCACGGCGGACAACGCATCTGCATTTTGATTCGCAAACGAGAATAGATGTAGATGACTATGGGACACTGTAATCACTTACCATCAGGTGGACTGTGTGCTCGCTTGTCAAAATTATCCTAAAAAAAGAAGATTTGATAACCATTTTTGATTTGAAAATTGACGAATAAGCCGTCTGTCTATCCGGGCTAATATTCGTAATGGCAGAACAGATTCTTATAAAACTTCCCAAACAGATAAAGTGTTATGCCTGGAGTGACATAGGCTATATTTTATCCGAAAAAAATGGACAGCAGACGAAAGTTTGGCTTAGACTAAACTTTGACTCAGAGAATTAATTAAGGAGTCAATTCAGGGTTATTAAAAGGTTCGCTGGCTCAGCTGGAAAATATTCCTTGTTTAGGCAGTGAACTTACCAAGTATTTTCGATTTATTTTTAATTTAAATCTATTTTAGCGTTCTGCACCAAATACTTTTTTTTACTTGGTCTTTTTGGCTATCAGTTACTCATTATAGATTTTCTCTATGAGATTGTTTAAGATAATTACAATTAGTCGTAGTTAATAAATTAGTGTTTTATTTAGGTTACTATCAAATTTTAATTATGGAATGGGATATAAGTGTATGCGGTTAAAAAATTAAAGTTTTATTTTAAATATCTTCGTTCATTTAGTCATTATTTACAGCTTATCAAAGTCTACCAATGAACATAGACCTCCCCATAGATCCTCCTCATAAGGAAGATATTTGCCACAATTGCCACGCTTAGCATACAAGTCCCCAACAGCAGTATTTAATTTTTAATTTCCTAGTTGTTATTA